GCTGGCGGCGCCGGCCAGGCCCCCGGCTGCTGCTCGGAGAAACGAAGCATCTCCCAGGGGTCAGAAGGCGGGGACCCCCAGGCTCCGCCCCCTTGGGAGGCCGTGCCAAGGCGTCCACGGAACGTGAACGTGACCGTGATCCCAGTGCCTGGGTGAGGACTGAGCTTGGCTCAGAGACAAACACATTGCTGTCCTGGACGCACAGCCACATACATTTTCTCATAACCCAGGAGCAAAAGGCAAAGACAGATTCCCTTAAGCCTTTAAACATGCAGTCCACGCCGATACAATTGAAACTGGACCCACAACCTTCACTGTATACAAACACACATCCAAATCATCAGTGAACACAAAACATTCGACTTGAAAAGCGGCACGTATATAGGTATGCAGCAGCCATGAACCCATAATCGTAGCATATACATCACACATACAGAATCATATTTACCCTTAAGCACTCAACAAGTACACAGATCCAAAACCGATAACCACAAATTGGCATATATTCTCCAAGTAAGAATAGAGACATATACAGGGGCTCTACAGCAGCTCGTAGACCCATGACCCCAATATGGAAACAAACACAGATAATTGCCCTTAGGCACACACCTCTTACAACTCAGAGACAACTGCCACACATACAAGAGCACCCCAAGAATGACAGACAGGTAGACCTGAGTATACTTAAGGACCCAAAGAAGCGTGAGCCAACTTTGCCAAAAATACGTCCCAAGTTGATTTAATGTTGATTTTACGTAGACTAAACGAACACAAGCTCATTCTGAGCCGTGCATGTTCAGAATCATTGGAATTACATGGATGGAAAGGTAGGTGGCCAGATGGACTGAAATCTAGTCCCAGTTTTGCCACTTCCATGCTGTTAGATTGGGTGAATCACTTCCCCTCTCTGGTCTTGATTTCCTCGCTTAGAAGATGAGCGGGTGAGTTCTAAGGTTCCACCCAATTCTGACATGTATAGGATGGGGAAGAGGAAGGCCTGCTGGTTTTAGGAAATTTAAGTCTAGCAATCCTGGAGATGGAGATTTCAGCTATATCTCAAAGGATGGACAAGTGGTCTGTAATCTGCTGTAGAAGGGCAGTAGCTGTGTGTCAGGCTTTGGGAATTGGTGGGAAAGGGGTGACCAGCCCTAATTAGCAGCCATAAAGGAGTTTCAAACATCCTTGCATGGTGACACAGGCCCTTGTGCTGGTGCTGAGCCTTGTGCTGTTTGGGCAGAGACCCACAGGCTGAAGTCTCCTGTAGGCCCCTCCCACAATGGGGTCTCTTCCTTTGTCTTCTGGATCCTACCCAGTTTTCCCTAAAGTCCCAACACCCATTCAGAGGGGTGATAGTCCTCTTCTGGTGATGAAATTAGCAACCAGAGCCTCAGAGCCCAGTACAACAAGAGTGAGAGTCAAGGCTTGGAACAGGGGTCACCCAGATCTTCCCCCCATCCCCTCCAGTCCCCTCCAGCATGGAATTCTAAGAGTCAATGACCTCTGCCTACTCCGCTTTCTTTCCAGTTAGGGGCTTCAGGGAGAGCACCTTACCACAATGAAGGACTAGAACTGCTGCCCCAGGGCTTTGTCATACACACACACACACACACACACACACACATTTCTACAAAGTGTGCTGCCTAGCGAGGACACTGGCTTGAGAGTTAGAAATGCCATTCTTAGCCCTAGTGCTTCCTTCTCCGTGACTCACTACTGTGGTTGTATAATTGAGCACATCATTCCATCTTTGGAGCTTCAGGTTTTTTTCATGAATAAAATGGAGGAAATGGGCTAGTAGAAGGTGCAGATATCCCTGTTTTCCAGCCAAACCCTCTAACATCACCTGAGGGATAGTTCTCAAACAGAAATTGCCAAGTCAGGGCATTTTTCATTTCTCTAGACCTTAGTTTGCCTCTCTATAAAAATGAGAAGGTGGATTATATCTGTGGTTCCTAACAAGAGGTGCCTACCCAAGAGGTACAAATCACTTGGGAAGCTTTTAAAAACTTAGATGCCCTTGCCCCACCCAAGACCTACTAATTAGTGGCACAAGTTTTAAGAAGCTTGCACACACAAATACCTAACGATACAAAACATGAGACTCAGAACTCCCATCTACAGGGTTCCACTCAGTGCTTGATTACCCAGTAGGCAAACTAATCATATTCACAGGTCGCCTACAAAGCGGAGGCATCTACCCTCAATGCCGGTTTTTCTCCATTTGCCCTCCCACCACCTAGATTCATTCTTGGCTCTTCTCTACCCTATTCTGGGAGCCTGAGCTCTATGGACTCTATCTGCAGGGATCACCAGGGCCCTGGCTTCTGGTTGGGTTCAGCCAGTGAAATTCAGAGGCAGGAGAGGAGAGCATGGATGAGTCCTGATGGACCAGACTGAGATTCTGGCTGTGGCCTTGCTTCTCCATGGCTACAGCCCCAGGCTCCCTCCCTATACCTTCAGGCCAGGGGTGGCAACAGTTTCCTGCTGTTGCTAGTCTTTTTTTTTTTTTTTTTTTTTGATACAGGGTCTCGCTCTGTCACCCAGGCTGCCGTGCAGTGGTGTCATCTATGCTCACTGCAACCTCTGCCTCCTGGGTTCAAGCGATTCTCCTGCCTCAGCTTCCCGAGTAGCTGGGATTACAGGCGTGTGCCACCACGCCCAGCTAATTTTGTATTTTTAGTAGAGATGGGGTTTCACCATGTTGGTCAGGCTGGTCTCGAACTCCTGACCTCAGGTGATCCACCCGCCTCAGCCTCCCAAAGTACTGGGATTGCAGACATGAGCCACCATGCCCAATGCTATTGCTAGTCTTTAGATGCCTCCTCACCCATGGCTAGTTTCATCTCTGCAAATAGTCATTAACTTCTCTTCACTTAAATTATTGAGTGTGCCAGCACCCTGGCTGATATAGGTGCCCACAAAGCAGAGGCACCATCCTCTTCCCAAAGAGAAAGAGTTTATTCTGACTTCATTCACATGGTTGAGATTTGTTGTTTCAAAAATAAATTTTTATTTACTATTTACTAGTGTTTACTATTTACTAGTGTTTTTATTTTGAATTGCATATTGCAGGAGGCGAAAAGTGGGATATGGCTGCCTGAAAATGGGCATTTCTTCCTTTTGGTAGGAACTGGCATTTCTTCCTTTCCAACCTATTAGCATGGCCCTTTTCACACAGCATTGTAATTTTCCCTGTGCTTGTGAGCCCGTTCACTCACTCATTCATCCAACAAGTGTTTACAGTGCACCTAATACGTGCTAGCCACTGTATTAGGTGCGGGGGTGTAAAATATTGAGTAAAATATATTCTCTATCCTTATGGAGCTTACAGTTCATTTCAGACAGGCAAGTAAACAATTACGCAATGTGGCAGCTGACCTAACGAAGTATGAAGGTGTCACAGGTGGCATTAAAAAAGACATCAGAATTATAAATTGCACCTGGAGCAATTGCAGAAGCTAGAGTTAAATCTAGAACGAGTCAGTCTTTATTGAGCAGACACCAATGGACATGCCATTCTAGGCAGAAGGAATTGCATGTGTACATAAAAGCACAAGAGACACACTGAATTCAGGGAAATACCTGTAGTACTGATTCGAGCTGGGGAGTGAGAAGGTGAAACTGAAGAAGCATGAGCCAATTCAGGTCTTGAAGGTTCTATTCAGCCAGGCGCAGTGGCTCATGCCTGTAATCCCAGCACTTTCGGAGGCCAAGGTGGGCGGATCACCTGAGGTCAGGAGTTCGAGACGAGCCTGGCCAACATGATGAAACCCTGTCTCTACTAAAAATTTAGAAAAAAAAAAATTAGCTGGGCATGGTGGTGGGCACCTGTAATCCCAGCTACTTGGTTCAAGGAGAATCGCTTGAACCCAGGAAGCAGAGGTTTCAGTGAGCTGAGATTGTGCCACTGCACTCCAGCCTGGGCAATAAGAAGGAAACTCTGTCTCAAAATAAATAAATAAATAAATATGAAACTTCTACTAAGAAGTTTAGACTTGATGTAGTAGATGACCCTAAACCAATTGTCCTCTGTTCCTTAGCATCTCTAATTGTGCCCGCTGTCACCCACCAGAGACATGGGCAAGGCACAGACATGATGACGCATCATCATTCTGGGCTTGCCTCACTTCCCCCATGGGGCTTCTTCTCACCCAGTGCTCTCCTTCATCTCTGACCCCTGTTGTTTTGCCACAGGATATTTTCCTCACTTAGTTTGTCCTGCTTGAAATCATAATCCAGTCCTAAACTGTTTATCTTATTCCCGACCTGATGCTGGATCTCAGCTAATTTCTTTTCTGTTCCAGGCCTCCAGAGCACTTTTTTCTTTTTTTTTTTTTGGAGACAGAGTCTCACTCTGTTGCCCAGGCTGGAGTGCAGTGGCGCGATCTCGGCTCACTGCCGCCTCCCAGGTTCACGCCATTCTCCTATCTCAGCCTCCCGAGTAGCTGGGACTACAGGCGCCCACCACCACGCCCGGCTAATTTTTTGTATTTTTAATAGAGATGGGGTTTCACCATGCTAGCCAGGATGGTCTCGATCTCCTGACCTCATGATCCACCCGCCTTGGCCTCCCAAAGTGCTGGAATTTCAGGCGTGAGCCACTATGCCTGGCCTCCAGAGCACTTTTAACCAACTCTCAGGGTCACCACCCAAACCCGATTCTACCCCCACTGCACCTGTAGATATGGTGAAGAAATCAGAGATGTTAAGGAGGGTGTGACAAGTTCAGATGTTCTGATAACAGTGTGAGGGCGTCAGTTGTTGAGTTGTTAGGAGTGAGCTGAATGTGTGTCAGCCAAGTGGAGAATGTTTGGGTGGAACTGGATACAAAACTAGGGCTTGGGTTCACAGGGAAGATTTGGAAGTCTCAACCATACTGAAAGTCTGTGGATGTGATGAACCAGAGAGGAGCCTTGAGGGAGTAGAGAAGAGGACTAGAACAAGTACTTGGGGGACAAACATGTAAGAGAATCGTGGAAAAAAGGAAAAGAAGGAAGAAGACAAACACACAGATAGATAGATATGCTGAGAATGTATCTGGCACACCCAGATATACCTAGTTCCAAGTATACTCACAGGGAAAGAGACAGACACACCCAGAGAAGTACATGTTCACAGATGATCTGTGGGTTTTGTGGTTTTGTTCCCTCCCTCTGGAACAGGTGGCAGGTGCTGGTTCTGCTTCCCCATTGTGGTGGGCCAGAAGCTTTGAAGATAAATGACCATGAACCATCACCATTACTGACTGTGTGCCCCATGGCCCAGGGTCTGTGGGAGGCTCCACATACCCAACCCCAGCCCAGGCATTCCTCCAGGTCCCTCCTGCCCCTCCTGCTTACAGGAATCAGCAGCCTAGAATCCTAGGCTGATTCCTACTGCCACCCATCCTCTAACAACATCCATTCTAGAAGGCCTCTGTCATGCTGAAGCCCGCTTGGGTCAGGGAGGCGAACCCTGGAGTGGTCGATGTGGTCAATGGCGCAGAGTCTGCTCCTGGAGGCACTTCGGAAAAGGACAAAGATTTTAGCAGAACTTTTCTTCCAGACCCTTGGTGAGGGTTAA